TGAATCATCATCTAATAATGATGGACCTATTTTGTGATGCACAAGAAGTCATACTGAGTGCTTAATAATAAATAATCCATAGTGTTATAAATCAAATGCTTTTCCTTCCTGGCTTCCTGTTCGATTCTCATCTGCACAGGTCTACCTACCTGCTCGTGTTGGGCTTTCAAGATGGCAATCTCCTTCTCCACCTCACATATGCGGCTGGTTGCCTTGGCAACTTCAGCGCGCTCCAGGTCACGCTCAGCCAGGAGCTGTTCGATGTGCTGCTGCTTCTCCTTCAATGCTTCCTGAAGTGCCGTCGTGCCAGAGATCTTCCGGGCATAGCGAGAAGAGGTCTCGGTCAGCTGCAGAGAGAGTGTTGGAAAGCCATGATGGAGAAAACTCAGTCAGCCTCTTTCTTCATGTCTTTAACATTGCCGCAAACTGAGCATCAAAATACAGCCTGAACACACAAATGCATTTAAGCTGGGCAGGACAGACTCTTCTCTTTCCTTTCCTGCCTAACCTGTCCTCAAAACCCTCCACTACCATATTGGGCTTTGGATACAGATCTGGGAAGGGGAGAAATGACAATGGTGTTGGTGCCAGTCAGGCCAATGAAGGCAGACTCCACAATTAAAATGTGCCTTCAATGGGTTCTTGCTTTGAATGTTATGTGACTCCAAGCACTGTGGTTTGGAAATCATGAGTTATGGCTTAGGGCTCTCTGTGACCTCAGCCGATTGTCATTTATGCCTTAAATCACAGTTAACAGGAAATGGCTTAGTGCCATGTATGAACCCAGTCACTCTTTCCTCTTTGATCATACTGCCAAGAACAACAGTTGCTGGTGGAGTCCATCTTGGAGGAACCAACATGGCAGTAGGCCCCAGCTTGTCCATCTCTTTCAAAACTTTGTGTTCCTGAGAGAAAATAATGGGAAGGGAACTGTAACCTGTCACTCAGCAATGCTGTTACTGGAGCTTGGATGATCATTGAAAAGGCATTTTAGAAACTGGAGGACAAATGACATCATATGCATCATGACATCATCAGCCACATCTGTGATGATTGCATCACTCACGGCACCTGCACAACTACATCATGAGGCATGTGATGTCCTCAAGGCTTGTTCTGAATCCCTATAAGCTGAACCTTACCAGTCCACTCCGGCTAGGCCTTCCCCCAACAGAGGAGGCCACGGAACTGACAGAGCTGATGGATGAGCTGCTGGGACTGTGGGTCAGGGCTGAGACCCCCATGGCCATCCTCTTACTTTTCTTCGCTTTGGCTGGGCTGGTGGATGGGAAACCAATCCGGATGACCTTATGGATAGGAGCAAAGAGGCCAAATTTTGGCGGGCACTGAAAATATCTGTAGATGAAAGACGGAGATGATTTTCAGCAATTTTCCAGGATAAAACACTTCCGATTTCACATTCTCTTCTCCCACAGGCAACGACTGCGTTTGTCAGTGAATCTAACACGCTTCACAGAGATCAGCCAGGCCAAGAACATGCAACCCTTTTCAGATTGTGAGCCACAGTTTCATGAGTGGGTGGGCCAGGTCAAAGAAGCTTGATCTGATTAAATAAAATTAAAGTTAAATCCAGTTAATTACTCCCTCTGTATTTAATGATTTTCTCTTCAGTCGTATTAAAAAGTTCAAGAGCGATGTTTGAATGATTTTAAATCCCTTCTCAAAGCCTAAATGAGCTTTATGGATAGATAAAATAAACCATAACCTCAGTGTGTGGATTTATTTACAGTAGAATGTACTCTCATTGTTGAATCTGTATCTACCACTCCTTTATCCTCAAAGTGTGACATCTGATGCAAATATCACAAGGATTGGGACTTCTGGCTTATAACCATTGGCAGCTCATTTTACCCTTCTAAGAGACATCAAAGAGGCTAATAATTTACAAAACACAACATACAGGTATTTCACAAGGCAACCAAAACATATGAAAAAAATATCCAATAATCAAAACACTACAATGAACTTATAAATTAAATTTGCAGTCTGGTATTTAATTGTAACAATTAAGTAAATAAAAAAGATTATTTCTATTTATTTTTCTTTCTAATGTTATGATAACTTCAAAACCATTGCATATTCCCAGAGCAGGTTATAACAGATCCAAATCATATAAAATGGTATTTGTAAAAACTATATTAACAACAAAGAGATAATAAAATAGGTCTCTTTAATTTAGCCTTCACTCTCTCTCTTTTCTTATTCTTTCTGGCAATATACTAGCCAGTCTTGCAAAATCTGGTGTCTTCTGGACGTGTTGACTTTTCATATCCTCAGTTAGGACAGCCAATGGCCAGTCTTGCTAGGAATGATGGGAACTGTAGTCACCCAGCATCTCCAGAGCGTCTCAAGTTTAGGAAAGTAATAGAAGATGAAGATTTTGAAAGCCAAAGATATTGGAAAAGGAGAAGAGCAGCTCTTGCATTTCCAACGGCTAGAAGGCAGAACTGCGGCTTTTCCCAAAAAAAGAGAATGAAAACCAAGGCAAGCCTCAGGAAAGTGGGGTGGGGAGGAATTGCCAGTAATATGATGTGGCAGTAAGTAGTGAAAAAGCAAATGAAGACTTTTATAGTCATGCCAAGTCATTTGCCCAGATGTGAGCAGCTGTTCCAGAACATTGCTTCCAATTTGTAGACACCCACAAGCACACACACAGAGCTGGCAGCTGTCCCAAACTGTCTGCCTACAAAGAGGAGGAATTGCTCAAGCATATCGTAGAAAGCTGAAGGAAGACTCTGCCATGCCGGGGAGAAGAGGCCAGCTTTGCAAACAGCTGGTTCAACCTGCCTCTTCCAAATAAATACAGAAATACTTGTTTGGATGCTTTCAACTAGATGCTGAGAAAAGGTAGGGGGTTCCAGTGGCACCCACATTTCCCTGCCAAGTCATTCCTTGGTCTTCTATACTGCATAATGAGAGAGCAACCAACAGACCAGCCTTCTCTAACCTGGTGCTCTCCAGTTGTTTGGGGGCTCCAATTCCCAGAATTCATAGCCATAACCTCCTCATTATCATAGCCCTTAATTTGCAATTTGACTCAGTCTACAAATCTAATCCTGCTGCCCTTGAAAAGCTGAAGAAAGTTACCAGTATGAGGGAAAAACAACAACAAGAAGCTGATTATTGCATCCATGCAGGGCTGAGTCATTGACCAAGTGTATCTGATGGGTATCCTCTCATTATGGGTTGTATCTTGATGACAGCAGTGGATAGCTACTGTAGTGCTGAGTGCCAAGGAGCCTGGACACCACTTTTATTTTCCACCATGGCCACAGCACCCATTGCTCCAGGACATTGTGGGAAATAAAAACAGAAGAACTACTGATGTACTGAGCTGGGGAAAATGCTACGTTTTGAACCCAAAACAAGCCAACATGATCTGGAGATCTACCAACCTATTTCAGGTCACTCATGGTTCATTAAAACCAAGGCTGGAAGACTTTGGTTGTTCCATGTTTCAGGCTAAACAAAAGAGGGCAAGGATGGTATATGTCATTCCCTCTCTCCCTCATACAACTCCTAGCACGCCATCATATCTCACCATCCTGCACGTCCACCCATCTTCCAAGCTGTTGCCAGTGTCCTTTGCTTCCTTCCCACTCCCCACAAATTTCTACCCAGAATAGCATGTTTTGCTTTTGTTATAGACCACCCAAAAATACTTATTGTGTGCACACGACAGGTAACGCATGCAATCTTTTGCACTATTCTAAGAGGAACATTTCAAATCTCAATTATTTCAAATTATGGGAAGGCAGAACATGTTTCAGCACCACTAAGAGATCTCCCTGGACACTGAAGTCCCAACACCTGCTCAAGGATGCTGGATATTGCATCTGTGGCAGGTGTTCATCCATGCTCAGACAGTATTACGGGGAGGAAAATTAAATCTGACAGGAAGAGATTTAAGGCATTTGGCATGTCAGACCTTGAGAACAGATGAGGGTGAGGTGGGGAGATGTAACAAGACATTCTAGTATGTCCTAAACAAAGCCATGCATCTTCTGTCCCCCAGAGCTCAGGACACAAAATAATAGGTTGTGTTTTTGAAGGAAGTCTGGATGAATGATAGGGAAATCCTTGGCACAGCAACCAGCAAGTGATTTGACAGTGGAAGGAGGAGAAGGAGGGGCCTTATTTGCCAATGAGTTCAAGCAGAGGCTGGACAGACATTTGTCAGGGATGTTCTAATCTGGATGCCTGCACTGAGCAGAGGAGTGGGCTTGGTGGCCTAAATTACTCCAAATGAGTCTATGATTCTGGGTGAGTACCTTGTTCCAGCAACAGCTCCATCATTCTTTCCCAAAGGTTCATCTAACTCCACGCCACACCATTCCCCTTTGGCGAAATCCGTCTCCCCTACATAGCGCACCACACCGGTTTTTGTTCCACCAACCTGTTAAAGCATTTGATGGAAAGAAAACTTTAAAAAAAAAATACTTTAAAAA